GAGGGATGGAGGAGCCCCACTGGACTCCCCCATGCCAACCTTCAGGTACAGGTATCCCAGGAAGAGCTGGGACACGGTAGCACCTACAAGGAGTGTCCCTGCTCCCAACCGCGCTCCCATGGAGCAGAGAGGAGCCAGCAGCAAGAGGGAGATTGAGGCCATTTAAGAACAGGGGATGAGGCTAAGGGGTCTCCTAGGGTCTCTCAGCCTCCTCCAAGCATCCAAACCTCCATCCCGACTCCAGGATTGGGACTGGAGCCTCCATGGAGCCTCTTTGCCCTCAGTCACCATCCGGTCCCTGTGTTGGGGCAGAGCTGACCTGAGTCTCTTCTCCTGCATCACCAAGGAGAGGAGTGAGAGGATCCAGATCCATCTGGATGGATCCTCCCTTGATCCTGTTTTGTTTGTTTGTTCGTTTGTGTCCATTTACCGTGTTCCACCCTTGCGCCACATTTTACCTTTCTTCTTGAACAGGTGAACAGCGTAGACACTTAAACCAAGAATCAAGATTAAGAGAGTCACCAGCATCAGCGCCAGAGCCACCTTCCAGGGATGGGCATCATGGAAGAAGGGAGCTAAGGAAGAAGGAGACATCACTACTCATCTGCTCTCACTCTCCCCCTAGGATCCTCGTTCCCTCCTAATGGGAGGTTCTCCACATCCCCAATGGGGAACGGACCCGATATGTGCAGAGATGACTCCTTCTCTTGACCAGGATATCTGTTCCTCACCATGCAGGACAAGCTCCCGTCTACCTCCCCTCTCATGGTGATGCTGTGCTCTATTCCAAAGAGGCCCTTCTCATCACGGGACTGTGTCTGAAACACCGAGGGCAACCGCTGCCCATGGGGACCCTTCCACAGCACGTCGGGCTCTGGGAACCAGCCGGACGAGCGACACACCACATGGATTCCTCCATCCTGGTAGCCCTCCAGTGAGACAAGGGGAGAAGAGCCTATGGCTGGGGAGAAAATGAGGATCCTGAGTTGAGTATTGAGTGGATCCCTTCAAAGCAGAAGTGTCTTAATAGGTTTTCTGAGGATACCATGTACATCCCCACCCAGTATGTCCTGAAAGGGTCTGCAGGACCAGGCATCCTCTCACCCAGAGCAAGAAACCAAGAACCACCCACATTGACCAAAGAGGATTCCTTACAAACTCAGGTACGAAATCTGCCTCAGACCTACCACATTTCCCATCCACATTGGTAGGGGAATCATTTTCTTGCCCATCAGAGTGGAGAAGCTGAACTTAGGTGTCTTGATCCAGAACTAATATCATGGAAATGTAGCTAAACTCTAGG